GGGGGGGGGGGGGGATGGAATGAATTACATTATATAGGGGTGCACAACATTGCACATCAGCAGCAACATCCAAGGCCATCTCTATTCCCTTTTGTTCTGTCTGCCTGGGGTATTGCATATATGGGATTCATCTTTAACTTTAGGAAAAGAGAAGAAAAATAAGCAAGGGAAAAAGAAAAGCAAAAGCAAAAGCAAAAGCAATGTTTGGATAAAGATGCAAAACCATATGCCGTTGGATCATGTCAAAATTTGAAAGGGGAAGGCCTTAAAAGAGTAAGATTACAAGAATGGCCTCCCAAACTACTTTTTCTGAATCAAAGTGGAAAAAGTAGACAGAGGAAGCAGGGGAAGGATGTTTAGGTTTTTGTTACTTTGTTCAAAGTTAATTACAAAAGTCATCTGCTTCTGAGACTGATCCCTCGGGACTCAAAAAAAAAAAAAACTTAATATTTAAACTTCAACTAAAGGGAGTTTCAGATTTGGCTTTGTTCCTTCTCATCTATTATTTAGTTTGAATTCAAAAAGATTGTAAGACATCTATGGACCAATGATCAAATGTTCATCCATCGGTTAAAGCCTAGCCCACTAAGGCTTAGTTTGAGATGGTTGTAGACAAATCAGTTGTCACACATTAGGAGGCAACAATAGGTCAAGGGATGTTAGATGACTTGTGAGGTCTTGAATGCACTAGTAGTTTCAATACCTTACCCCAAATAATAACTACCTAGTTAAGACATTTTTCAATATACAAAATGAACAAATAATTGAGGATGCTTTTATTAATTCCAGGTTATTGCTACTTAATTGAGGATGCTTTTATTAATTTCAGGTTATTGCTACCTTTCAAAGTGTAGCAAAAAATATGAGTAGGATCATACTCCAAGACATGCAAGTGATTATATCACACAACAAACGTTATGAAATCATTTCAAATCTCTCAATATAGTGGTTTAACTTCCATTAAACCACTCATGTCAGGACATTCCAACATAGTAGTTTATCTTATAAGAACGCAATCAAGATAAACATGAACCACCACCCTAATTTGCATATTCAAAAATCCTCCCCAAGTAGCTTTGAATCGATATATAAGCCATGAAAGGCTGAAACTTCGGCCAATGTTTGAAGTTTTGGGCTTTGAAAGAAAAGTGAAACTGTTTTTCTGTGATTGCAGCGGGCTGCGAGTTATCAAAGGGTGGAGGATCAAATACAACCCATTCTTTTCTTGGCTTTTTGTATTGAAGTGTGCTGGAGAGCGGTAAGGTGGCTAAAGAGAATGCTGGCCTGGGAGCAACGACGAATGATATCTGGAGAACGGTGTCCGGTGGAAGCTGATGGTGGTGGCTGCCGGCTGGAAGAGTGGTGGTGTGATGGCGGTGGCTAGAGAACGCCAGAGCAAGGATAGGGTGATCGGTGAAGGCGAGCGAACCAAACAAGGGACTCGGATTGGTTTTTTTACTGTTTTTTAGCCAAAAACCGGATCAAACCAAACAGTTCCAGTTTTCTCTAGATACAAACCAACTCCAATTTCATGCTACAAAATTGAACCAATTCACTGAATCGGCATGGTTCAGTTTGGTTATTTTCTTCTTTTGCGTCTTTAACGTCAAGGGTGGAAGCGTTTCCACAAAACAATTTTATCAATCGAAGTTCAAACCACCCTGCTTAGTAGAAGCTACTAAATTGTGGACTGTAACATGAATCCGGACAGTTCTCATAATACAAATACGTTCAAAAACCACACATTGATGGTACAAAGAAAGCTGGCTAAAGTTCTAATGCAAAACTAGGCTTTGCTTTCTATTAGTACTAACGGATGGGAACAACTAAACAAAAATAATAATAAAAAAAAAACAGAAGGGTACCGACAGTTGCGAATCAAGGGAAAAGACAAGCTCGAAACAGCGCCTCACTGGAATACAATCTTTTTCTTCTCCTTTCTTTCTCTTTTTTTTTTTTTTTTTTTTTTTTTTTTTTTTTTTTTTTTTTTTTTT